GTAGCCGGGCTACCCGGGCGTCTGCCCGGCCCCGCGGCGGCAGCCTCGGCCGGGACGCCGTGGGCCTTCCCAGCCTCCCTTTCCTGGCGGCTTCGGAGACGGCGATCGCTGTCCCCGCGCCGCGGGACCGGGGAGAGGAGCCGCACGTCTCGGCCACCGCGCCTCCTCTCGCAGGGCAGCAGGGTACGTATGCTCCTGCAGCCGCAGCCTTCCCCGGAGCCCCCGCTTCGAGCTTCGGCTCGGGAGGGGTGAGGACGCGCGTAGTTTCCTGCTGCTGCCACCCCCCGCGGTCTGCGGAGCAGATGTATCTGTCCTCCCCTGCCCACCTCCCAGGTGCGCCTTAGGAAGCCCCGCGGGCATTCAGCTCTGCTGGTCCAGAAGGTCCCTTTGAAACCGGCGTAGAGAAAGGACAAGTCAAGGCCGTTGGAGCAGGTGCAGGCTTAGAACTGCTACAGGAAGATTTGCAGAGAAGATGGTTCAAACACAGCGATGGCTGGAGAAAAAGAAAAAAAAGTTGTCTTAGTTCTGGATCTTCTAGTAAAGCAGAAACTTGTGACAGTAAATTCCGTGCTCAGAAATGGTTTGACAGATTCCTTGCCATTAAAAATAATTGACAAAAAGTCTTAAACGGGAAACAAAATTACAGTGTACCAGGAACCCACGTTTTTGTATCGCACAATGCACATGTGGACCTCTGTTTCACGAGCGAAAGCAAGGCCGGCGGAGTCAGTTGGCTTTTGCACTCTAGTATCCTCTCAGGAGAATAGATTCTGTAATTACAGCAGGGAAACATATTAATTTACAAACGACAGAATATAGTTTTCACCGTTCACTACCAACAGAAGAAAAATCAACCCTAAACTCTTTTTATATAGTCAGTATTTTCTAAAATTATATGTGTTGCCTTCAACGCAGCAGCAGTGCCTTGCAGGGGTGCTTCAGTGGTCCACGGGGAGCTGTAGCACTGTCTAAACAACCAAAACACCAGAAAGAAGTGCTCTGAACAAAGTCATGATACAGAGGAAAAGAGCGTTTTGGATGCTTCTGAGTGGAGAGTAAAATGTCCCCAACTGCACCCGACTGTCCAGATTCTGCTTGTTCTACTCAAGTGAACCCGTTCCCAGAAAATGGACAAACCCCAAAAGCTGGACTTTTTGCCTGCTGGGAGAAATATCGTCTGGAATAGTAGCTGGTAAGCAGTTTGTACTCAGAGCTTTCGAAAGGCCTGATCTGAGTCTGAAGTCAGCAGAAACAGGAATAGGCCATGGACATTTAAAATAAAAGGTCAGTGCTGCATGAAACGCAGAAGCGTATAACTAAGTTTGTTATTTAATAACAATACCTACGCCTCTGTAGTCTTAAAATGCTCTCACATTTTATAATCATTCTGAAATTAAGGCCTAACCACATATTAAAAGAAATTCAAAGTAAATCAGAAAGTTTAGGATCAGATTCCATTCCTAATTACTGTAATTAACGAACAAGTCCCCGCAATTTAAGGACTGGTTTGCTCAGTATTTTTTCTTTTTACATAGACCCCTTTTATCTAAGTTAAGAACTTGCAAATAATCTCTTTTTACAAGAAAACATAAATTCCTGTTCGAATTGTTTTAATATGGTATAAAATGAGGTTCCCAGACTTAGACAAATAAGGCAATTCTTCATCTTTTTATTGCCCATCCTTCTTTGAAGGCAAATAAAATGTTTAGAACCTGATCATCCCTCAGACAAGCACAAATGCCTATTTCCACATTCATATCAACAGTGACTGATACAAAATATTTCAAATCTTATGTCAAGAGAAAACTTTTGTTCTCATTGCTTCAGTTACATGTGTCAGGGAGTTAATTTAACTAAAAGAGGAAGGATGTGTGTTGCGTACCATGGATCCCTGAAGCAGCGTGGCTGTCAACTCTTGAGGGTGCTATTCTTCCATCTCAAAGCAGATCTTGCTGTCTAGAAGCTAGGGGAGGATGGGAGAAACGCTCCACAATTCAAAACAGCACCAAAAGTCATTTATACAAAAAGTCAGCTGCGCTGGTTTCTGCTAGCAGGGAAGGAAACTGAATAGAAACCATGATCGTGGAGGAATGTGAATATCTATCTGCTTTATATAAGTGAATTTTGCGACTGCTAAGCATTTTTAACTGCACCGGAACACTAAAGTCTCTTCATTTCACCTGAACTTGGCTCCTGTGCTGTTCTCAGGCCTTTGACTCCCATGGGCTGCAAAACAGGTTACCTGGCTACAGGATCCAGGCTGGCTTTACAGGCTGCATGGGCAGTACAGCGCTCTGCTTTCTGGTCCAACAGCTCGGAAGTATGTACAGAACATGGCATGTGGCAGCCCCGTTAAGAATCAGAGTGCTATTACACTTTTATTTTACTACCTTGTTAAACTAGAGTATTTCATTGCTACTGACAATGCTCCAGAACGTCCTGTCTGCACGCAAAACTTCTTCGGGTGAATGCCAGCGTGGCCCAACCTCTCTTCTCTCCCACCTGCAGAAGGGGTGGGGGGTGGGGGGGGGGAAGGAGACAGATTTGGCTAGGGCAGGGATGGGCACTGTGGAGCAGAAAGGACAGTACGGCTGTCCCGCAAGTGACAAGGGGACATTATGCTCAGTTGGGCGTCGTGCTGTGACCCAAGCACACCAGGGGAGTAGGCAGGGATGGAGCAGCAGTAGTTTCCTATGCGAATAAAGAACTAGCAATCTACCATCTTACTTCTTGTGGTGTAATGAAACACAAACTTCTCCCCTCTCCTTTGTTTTCTGCCCCAGGGAGGGGAAACATGATGCTGCACATAAAAGCTGCCACACATGACAATTTTCAAAGGAAAAGGCTTTATGTGCCAAAGCCTTGGAGGCCGGTAGATCAGTATGCAGCATGGTATGACAAGTCAGCCAGGACCTTCCCTTCAGCTGGGCAAGGCAGCTGGTGACTGATTACCATTTTTGATGTGCAGTTTGGTCCAATGACAGATTATTTAATTACTTATCATTACAGTTTTTCTCCTTTGGAGAAACACTGTTTACAATTCCAAGGTGAATCAACTCAAATCCATGCTATCTTCCTCTTCCCTTTTCGTATCATTCCCCTTGTCTTCAGGGTCTCTATGACCATGTCCTCAACCCTTGCTGTCCTTGGGCTCTACTGACTTCTGGCTCCTCTCCTGAGAGCTCAGTCCTTTGCAATGACCAAGCTAGCCGACTGGGAGCATCTTTTCACTTCCATTTGCCTGATTACTGCTCACCTCCATTCAAATGGTGCTCATAACCCAATCTGTTTCCAACTTGTCACCTGTAATCATGTACAATCAGTCTGTGAAGTTGTAAGTGGTTTATCCATTCACAATTTTTGCATGGTTAATGAGCCATTACGTATGTAGTTCCTGTTTTATATTTAGGACCGTATTTCACTGACCAAATTCATGGTGCCCAGAATATTCCAAATGCTTTTCAGATACAGGATTAAGTACTATTCCAAAGAACACACAGTTGAAATACCACAAAAAAAAGGATGTAATAGTATTGCTCCTCACCTCTCACCGTACTGTTTTCTTCTGCAGTATTAGGCCATCACCTTTGCCTCAAGGCTTCCCTGAATCATGTTTACAGTTCTACTGGTATGCATCAATTATCCCTTTGCTCAATATTTGGCCTATCCACAAATCATCCATTTTTCTCTCTA